TAATATCATCAGTGGTAGAAGGGAGTGGAGTTTGTGAAGGAAGAGGAGGAGGAGGGCTGTGGGGTCCTTGGTGGCTCTCTGAGCTTGCTTGTTTTCTTGCAGACGTTTCATTACCCAACTAGGTAACATCATCAGTGTTAGAAGGGCAGTGGCGTTCATTCTCTGTTGATATATTTGTCAGAAGCTGGCTGGGAAGGTTACAAAGGATAATCCCACGACCCCAGGACTGCGCAACCGACATAAATACATGCCGATTTGCCAAGCACCTTAATTTGGATCAAGGGACCCTGGGGATGCAGCCATGGTTGCAAATGTGAAAAATGGGGATAAGTCACTTTTTCCCCCCCCAGTGCGTTTTCACTTCAAACAGACACTAAACGAATGTTTGCAAGTCAAGCACGACCCGTACTTTTCACTTTAGGGGCGATGGTTCAGTTTCCTAGAAATTGCAGGCTTTTTATGCACGCAGAAGGCACTTTTCAGCTTCCGCCAACTTCCGCTTCGTGGGTTAAACACGAAAAGCGGTCATGAATCTGTAAGGTGACTAAAAGAAGCTCTCGACTCTGGGCCTGCCCTATTTCTTTTCTCACCACATCCTATTTTTCCGCAGCCTAGGACCTACATGCTGTTCTCGATTCCCTCCCCATCCCCAAGATTGGGGCGCAGTCCTGCATACGTAGTATATGATAGCAGTGTTCCAATATCTCAGGGGCTGCCCCAAAGAAGAGGGAGTCAAGCTATTCTCCAAGGCGCCTGAAGGTAGGACGAGAAGCAACGGATGGAAACTGACCAAAGAGAGAAGCAACCTAGAACTAAGGAGAAACTTCCTGACAGTTAGAACAATTAACCAGTGGAACAACCTGCCTCCAGAAAGCGGTGAATGCTCCAACACTGGAAGTTTTTAAGAAGAGACTGGACAGCCATTGGTCTGAAATGGTGTAGGGTTCCTGCCTGAGCAGGGGGTTGGACTAGATGACCTCCAAGGTCCCTTCCAGCTTTATTATTATTATTATTACTATTATTGCTATTATTATTATTATTATTATTATTATTATTATTATTATTATTATTATTATTATTATTATCATTATCATTATCATTATTATTATTATTATTACACACCCACCACAAATCTCCTAGGCAAAGCGGTAGGTGCCTTGCAAGTAAAAGTTTCTTATTTCTCCTGCCGTGATTTTCAAAAGAGTTGCAGCTCTTGAAAAGACAAAGAACAGCTAAACTGTAGTATGAGAGAGAGAGAGAGAGAGAGAGAGAGAGAGAGGGTTAAATACTCCTTCTTTGGCAATGCTGAGGCTATCTGGTAAAAGATAACCCCAAACATCTATGCTATTTGTAATGGCCATTGTGTAGATCCCTTGGGTTTATAGGTGAGCATCTCAAACCATCATCTGCTAATTTGACACCCTTAGGTGGTACTTCTCAAGCGGGACAATGTCAAGATTGTATGGACTTTGAGTTGAAGTCCGTACGTCTTAAAGTGGCCCAGGTTGAGAAACACAGTTTGAAGGCAACATATACCAAAATGGAATATGAATATGGGGGAAGTGTTGGATGTGGACCCCTCCCTGCAAGCTAATTAAGCCCGGGGGGGGGGGTGTGGCGGTGCTTTTCTCCTCTCTCTGTGACTCTCTCCGTTAGCCATGCACAACCTTGTTTTCAGCGGAGTGTTTTATTTGTAGAAGAGGATGTGGTTGGAGTGGCCGGATTTGAGCATCTTCCTTTAAGAGAAAAGGAGGGGGGCTGGGTGGAAAGGGGAGGGGAAAAGCGGGAACTGGACTTGGCCGCGGTGGGAGGGGGGTGGAATAATGGGGGCCATAGGGCTGCAAAACCTGAGTGCCAGGCTCACTGACGTGACGCAAAGAACTCACATCGTCAGTGCTAGTTAGGGCTTGAGAGAGAGCTGATGATGTCACCCATCTGGGTCATGAAACGTCTGCAAGAAAACCATCAAGTTCAGAGGGCACCAAGGACCCCACAGTCCTCCTCCTCCTCCTCCTCCTCTCCGCCAACCTCCCTCCCTTCTAGCACTGATGATGTTCCCAAGTTGGGTCATGAAAGATCTGCAAGAAAACCACCAAGCTCAGAGGGCACCAAGGACTCCACAGTCCTCCTCCTCCTCCTCCTCCTCCTCCTCCAGCCCCCCTCCCTTCTAGCACTGATGATGTTCCCTAGTTGGGTCATGAAAGGTCTGCAAGAAAACCACCAAGCTCAGAGGGATCCAAGGATCCCACAGTCCTCCTCCTCCTCCTCCTCTTTCCCAATCCGCCTCCCTTCTAGCACTGATGATATTACCTAGTCAGGTCATGAAACGTCTGCAAGAAAGCCACCCATCTCAGAGAGCACCAAGGACCCCACAGCTCAACCCTGATCTCCATATATTCTCTGTTCTCCATTGCTTTGATTGTCCTACCTCCACCATCTGCTGGACGTGCTTCTTGATGCC